AATTTTTCTTATTGAGAACCTTATCTAGTGAGGATCTTTTTTAGTGAGGATATTTCTTAATGAGAATCTTTCCTAGTGAGGATATCTCTCAGTGAGTGAGGATCTTTCTTAGTAAGCATTTTTCTAGTGAGAACTTCCCTTAAAGGTGGGGGGGACAGGAGATTTTTCGTAGTTTTTTTGTAGCTAGAGTATGCATTCTACCGTGACGGTGTACAACGCTTAATGTCACTCTGCGTACAGCTGTCATCCTCGCCTTTATGTATGCATCCGAGGTGCCGCTCTCTCTTTGCCCGCGTAGCTCAGTCGGTAGCGGCGCCGCGCCCCCAATCCTCGTCCTCACAAGTTCAACTCCTCGAGGGACATATTTAGACGGAATATCGAGAACATTATTTTTTCATGTCCCCCCACCTTTAAGAAAGATTCTCAATAAGAAATATTCTCAGTAAAAAATCCTCACTAAGAGAATTTCTCATTAAGAAATGTTCTGACAAAGAAAAATTCTCACTAAGAAAAAAAAACAATTTTCCAGGTAGCCAGTGTCCAAACAGCCGATCGTTACGAACAGACCTGGGATGAGGATCCGGAAGAAGCACAACCAAAGTCTAGGATAAATACAAGAAGATTGTATATTTACAACACTGGCGAATAAATTTATTGTTCTTTATTGTTCTTTATACAGAGATCCACAAAAAATCTTTCATCTTATATCCCTAGCCCAGCTTCTGTAGCATCTTTGCTCTCTCCTCGGCACATCCAAACTTCTTGCACTGTCTCTCAATAACCTCCTCAGCTGTAGTCTTACGGTCATAAACCAGACCCAACGTGGCACCGACATCAATCAGTACTCTTGTCCAATTCAAAAACTCGGCGTGTTCCGAAGTACGGTAGTCTTGAGGAAACGTGTGATGGTAGTTGTGTCCGCCTTCTCCAACCGCAGCAACTGATGTCCAGAGGTTGTCAACTGAGGAGGCTTGATGATCGTATGGCTGCCAGCCGATCCAATGAGAGACACTGTTGATGCACCATGTGGCATGAAGGGTGAAGGTGTAGCGGAAGAGAGCGGCGGTGTAGAAGGCGATGAGTGCAGATTCACCCCAGAAGTAGACGGGGATGAAGGTGGGAAGAGCGAAGCAGAAGATTCCGACCAAGGGAAGGTAGTTTCTGGAATTTTAAAGGTGGGGGGACATGAGAAAAATAATGTTGTCGAAATTCCGTTCAAATATGCTCCTCGAGGAGTTGAACTTGTCGAAGCGAGTGTTGAAGGTGCGGCGCCGCTACCGACTGAGCTACGCGTGCAAAGAGAAAGCCGCTGCCCGATTGCATACATAAAGGCGAGAGCGACAGCTGTACGCAGAGTGACATTGAGCGTTGTACACCGTTACGGTAGAATGCATACTCTGGCCCCAAAAATCCCCCGTAAAATCTCCTGTTCCCCCACCTTTAAAAGCATTGGGAAGCATTGAAGAAAGTTATGGCAGATTCTCACTAAGAAAGATCCTCACAAGGAAAATTCTCACTAAGAAAAATTCTCACTAAGAAGGGTTCTTATTAAGAAAAATTTTTTTAGGAGAGATCCTTATTAAGAACGGTCTTCACTAAGAGATATTCTCACTAAGAAGGGTCCTCAACAAGAAAGGTCCTTATTAGGAAAGATCCTTAACAAGAAAGTATTTCAATAAGAAAGATCATCACTAGGAAAGATTTTTGATGAGACAGATTCTCATTAAGGACGATCATCACTATGCAATCCTCATTAAGAAAGATTCTCACTAGGAACAATCCTCACTAATAAAGATCTTGATTGAGGGAAAGTCTCACTAAGAAATTTTTTTCCAACGTACCTTCTCTGAAACATCAGAACCCGATCCGCATACAAATCACTCAAATCCAACTTGGCTCCCTGGACCTTCAACTGCTCGTGCTTCTTCACCAACAACCATCCCATATGAGCAAAGAACATTCCTCGATTCGTGCTATGTGGGTCAGCATCCGTATCCGTCCATTTATGATGACACCGATGGTCTCGGGCCCACTCGATAATGTCATTTTGGAAGGCGATCGAGTTGATGAGCATCAGGAAGACTCTCATTGGGAAACGAGCTTTGTACGAGCGATGAGCCCAGAGGCGATGGGCTCCGCCAGTGACACCCATGGATCCGAGTGTGTGGAGGAGGAAAACTGAAAAAAATTGACTACATATTGGAACATTTTGAGCAGTACCCGGTCAAGGATAGTCTTATGAATTTATAAATCATTCGAAAGCTCAAATTTTATATATTCTAAAAATCTAATTAAATATTGAAACAAAAATTTAAGGGCCAAGTTATCTTACCCCATCCAACGGTTGCCCATTTTGCCTGCAACACCAACTGATAGAGCCCAATCAGTGCTCCAATATGAAGAGCCGCAAACAAGAACACATTCCTCCAAACAATTTCCGTTTTTGGCGGTTTCCTCTTGCTCTCCTCTTGCATTTGACGGATTTCACGGAGATCCGCTGCCAGGAATTGATTGGTTATTAAGGCGTCCACTTTTATTTGTGTCATGTTGAGAGATGGATCTGAAAAAGTGAGACTTTGAAAATACGAATTTTAGAGCCGTTAATTACTCCTAACTTTCTGGATTTGATATCATTATAAAGTTTGTAAAATCAAGATTCCAAAAATCTAATTGAAATTTGAAACTGATGATTTTGAGCCGGTTATGATGCTTGAAAAACGAGGATTCCAAAAATATAGTCAAAATTTGAAACGGATTATTTTGAGCCAAGTTATTAAATGCAAAAAATTGAAAAATATATGCAAAATTTCAAAAATCCCGGTATTTATACCATGAAGTCTTTTTTGCTCCACCTTGTAGGAAGAGAGAAGGGGTGGGGTGATTTTTGAAAAAAAAAGTAAACAAGTTCAGAAACAGAAAGGGGCGGAGCTTATTTTTGAGTTGGGAACAAAGAACGAGAGTTGGTCTAGTACACAATGTATCTCAGGAAAACTAAAAAAAAAAGGATTTTGCAAAATTCGAAAATTTGAAAAAAAGATTTAGTGGGAATTCGAAAACATACTTCCCTGGGTTCAAAAATGTTCAAAATGATGGAAATGTTCATTCTCACTAAGAAGAATTCTCATTAAGGAAGATTAACACTAAGAATTCTCACTAAGGGAGGAAACTTCAATTTTCTATTTTTTAAATTTCAGATATTTCTCAAAAATCCGAAAAAAATATTAAAGTTCTAAAAATCATAAGAATTCAAAAAATCTAAAAAATTGAGAATATTCTGAAAATGACATTAGTGGAAATTCTAAAAGTATGAGAATTGCAAAAAAATTGTTGAATCGCCAGAAAATCCATTAAAAGCTAGATAATAATTTTTCGAAATTTAGGAAAAAAATTCTCAAAAATTTACAAAAAATCAAAAAAATTTGAAATTCAAGAAAGATTCTCACTAAGAATAGAATTTGACTTCTCATGGGCTACAATGTATCTCTCATTGCTCAGTCTCTTTCTATTTGCTTATATACCACCCTCCATTTGTATCTTTGTAGCATCGTTCACATTCCCGCCAAATGTGAGTAATGCGTAAAACTGTCCCTCTTGTTTTCTCCGCTACACAGTCTACTCGTGTACTTAGATACTCTGATGGAGAGATACACTGAACATTGGTTGGTTATAAATTTGTTCTTCTCCTGTTTTAAATTGTTTCCGTCATTTTCTACGGAAGAGAAAATGATAAGAAAGGTAGGGAAAAAATATAGAGGTGGTCAGGATTATAGTGTCCCGGAAAAATAATTTCCTGGAGAATGTTGCAAAATGTTGCAAAATAGACCATATGATAGGCTCTGAAATTTTGAAATTCCAAAATACTGAAATTCTCATATTCTGAGATTCTGCGCTTCTGAAAATCCTGAAAATTCAAATTTTGAATTTCCAGAATTTCGAAATTCCGAAATTCAGAAACTCTGAGATCCCGAAATTTCCACATTTCAAAATTTTGAAATTTTAAGAGGCTGAAACTCTCAGATTCAGATGATCTGAGATTCTGAGATTCTGAGATTCTTAGAATCTGAGATTCTGAGATTCTTAGAATCTGAGATTCTGAGATTCTTGGATTCTGAGATTCTGAAATTCTGAGATTCTGAGATTCTGAGATTCTGAGATTCTGAGATTCTGAGATTCTGAGATTCTGACATTCTTAGAATCTGAGATTTTGAGATTCTTGGATTCTGAGATTCTGAGATTCTTAGAATCTGAGATTCTGAGATTCTTAGAATCTGAGATTCTGAGATTCTTGGATTCTGAGATTCTGAAATTCTGAGATTCTGAGATTCTGAGATTCTGAGATTCTGAGATTCTGAGATTCTGAGATTCTGACATTCTTAGAATCTGAGATTTTGAGATTCTTGGATTCTGAGATTCTGAGATTCTTAGAATCTGAGATTCTGAGATTCTTAGAATCTGAGATTCTGAGATTCTTGGATTCTGAGATTCTGAAATTCTGAGATTCTGAGATTCTGAGATTCTGAGATTCTGAGATTCTGAGATTCTGAGATTCTGAGATTCTGACATTCTTAGAATCTGAGATTTTGAGATTCTTGGATTCTGAGATTCTGAGATTCTTAGAATCTGAGATTCTGAGATTCTTAGAATCTGAGATTCTGAGATTCTTGGATTCTGAGATTCTGAAATTCTGAGATTCTGAGATTCTGAGATTCTGAGATTCTGAGATTCTGAGATTCTGAGATTCTGAGATTCTGACATTCTTAGAATCTGAGATTTTGAGATTCTTGGATTCTGAGATTCTGAGATTCTGAGATTCTTAGAATCTGAGATTCTGAGATTCTTAGAATCTGAGATTCTGACATTCTTAGAATCTGAGATTCTGAGATTCTTGGATTCTGAGATTCTGAAATTCTGAGATTCTGAGATTCTGAGATTCTGAGATTCTGAGATTCTGAAATTCTGAGATTCTGAGATTCTGAGATTCTGAGATTCTGAGATTCTGAGATTCTGACATTCTTAGAATTTGAGATTTTGAGATTCTTGGATTCTGAGATTCTGAGATTCTTAGAATCTGAGATTCTGAGATTCTTAGAATCTGAGATTCTGAGATTCTTGGATTCTGAGATTCTGAAATTCTGAGATTCTGAGATTCTGAGATTCTGAGATTCTGAGATTCTGAGATTCTGAGATTCTGAGATTCTGACATTCTTAGAATCTGAGATTTTGAGATTCTTGGATTCTGAGATTCTGAGATTCTGAGATTCTTAGAATCTGAGATTCTGAGATTCTTAGAATCTGAGATTCTGAGATTCTTGGATTCTGAGATTCTGAAATTCTGAGATTCTGAGATTCTGAGATTCTGAGATTCTGAGATTCTGAGATTCTGAGATTCTGACATTCTTAGAATCTGAGATTTTGAGATTCTTGGATTCTGAGATTCTGAGATTCTGAGATTCTGAGATTCTGAAATCCTGAGATTCTGAAATTCTGAGATTCTGAGATTCTGAGATTCTTGGATTCTGAGATTCTGAAATCCTGAGATTCTGAAATCCTGAGATTCTGAAATTCTGAGATTCTGAGATTCTGAGATTCTGAGATTCTGAGATTCTGAGATTCTGACATTCTTAGAATCTGAGATTTCGAGATTCTTGGATTCTGAGATTCTGAGATTCTGAGATTCTGAGATTCTGAAATCCTGAGATTCTGAGATTCTGAGATTCTGAGATTCTGAGATTCTCACGTTCCATTATTCTGGAATTCCCTAAATCTGAAATTCTGAGATTCTGCAATTCTGAAATTCCGACATTCTGAAATGTCAAAATTCAAATTTCACCGTTTTTTGGAGTCATAAAAATGTTCACACCAATTTTTCGATCATGTTATTTTCCCATGTTCATTTTCCTCCAATTTTCCAAAGAACAACCAGAAAAGGAAAATGTGTATCTGCGCAAAAAACAGTAAAAAATTTTATGTTCACTGACCGATGTATAGTGTAGCCAAACGAAAAAAAAACAAGAAAAAAAATTATGAGGTCTACTGATAAGTGATCAAAGTCTGCGTGGAGTCTATGATGTATGCAGAAAATAGAGTTTACTTTCTCACTAAGAAAAATTTTCAGATTCTTATTATGACCGATTCTTACTAATAAAGATCCTCACTGAGAAAGATTCACACTAAGTATCATCCTTACTAAGAAAGATTCTCACTAACTAGGGAAGGTTGTAATCGGGGGGTGGAACTTCGGTATGAGACCCTTATCATTCGAAAGCTGAGAATGAGACATTTTCAAATATGTATTCTGATTTTGCTGCGGACATTCCAGATCCGAGAAAATCGGGTTCGAAATCTGAGAAATTGCAATTCCAATCTATATAAGAAAGAGGGGAGGCGCGGCGCCCTTAAGAGTCAAATTTGAGCCAAATTTGAAACTTGATTTTCTCGAAACTGGTAGCTCCTCAGCAAAATCTGAATACATGTTTGAAAATGTCTCATTCTCAGCTTTTGAATGATATAGGTCTCATACCGAAGTTCCATCCCCCAATTACAACCTTCCCTAGTAAGAAAAGTTATCACTAAAAATAATTCTCGATAAGGAAGGTTCTATTGAGAGAGTTCGTCACTAAGAAACGTCGTCATTAAGAAAAATCCTAATTAAGAAAGATTCTCACTAAGAGAGATTCTTACTAAGAAAAACTCCTCACATCGGAATATTCTCATTAAGGTAGGTTCTCATTAGGAAGATCCTCATGAAGAAAAATTCTCACTAAGAAAAAATCTTATTAAGATAGATTCTCGCTGAGAAAGGTTTGCTTACCTTTGCCAATAACTCAATCGACGGTATCCAAATCAATTCTATGTTCACTTTCGAAATCAACGCAAGGCAATCAAGATTGAAAGATTGTCCAAATCCAACTAGCCCGACTTGCTCGAACTCTCGCAATGGGATAGTTCTCTAAAACTTTCAATAACATGGACTCTTCAAGGTTATTCATCTGGAAATTTTAGATTTTTTAAAAACTGAATAAACGACTGATAGATAATTGAAGAAGTTCTGATCTCCAAGATCAGTCGACTCCTGTGGAATATCAATTTTATAGAAAATTTCAACAGGAAACGTTAATTTTTATTAATAGTAAGTGAAATGGAAATCTTTGGAATGTCATGCTTATTTGTCGTCTTCTGTCGGAAGAAGTTCAACCTGAACCATTGCCCCAATGGTTACATCGAGAATTGTGACAAAATTGAACTCGACGACGCTTCCTTCCTCTGAATTCGAGATATGGATTCTCAAAACTTTTCCATTGAAATTGGTACGGTAGAACCAACTCATGCCGGATGTTTTGTCGCCGAAAATTGGTCCAAGGGAGTTTCCGGGAGGCTGTAAATGCTTGACGAGGATCTTGAAGTCTTTGGGTGGTCCCAGACGAAGAAATTCCTGAAAAACTGTTAATTGTAGTTTTAGAACCTGGGAAGTACTGCAAAAAACGTAAAAGCCCTAATTTCCTAATTTAAATTTTCTTACTAAGAACAATTCTTACTGAGAAAGAGTCTTACTGAAGAATTATCGTCACTAAGAAAGATTTTTTTTTTGGATAATTTCTTTCCAAGAATGATCCTCACTGAGCTAGATCATTGTTATGAAAGATCCTTATTAAGAAATATCCTCACTAAGCTAGATTCTTCTTAGGAATGATTTTCGCCAAGAAAGATCATCACTAAGATAGATTTTCACTAACTAGGGAAGGTTGTAATCGGGGGGTGGAACTTTGGTATGAAGCTTATATCATTCGAAAGCTGAGGATGAGACATTTTCAAATCTGTATTCAGATTTTGCTGAGCTACCAGTTTCGAGAAAATCAAGTTTCAAATTTGGCTCAAATTTGACTCTTAAGGGCGCCGCGCCTCCCCTCTTTCTTATATAGATTGGGGGAAGGGAAGCAAACAGCGAGCAGTGGTGTAGTGGCGAGGAGGGATGTACAGTAGGCGACTAGATGCAGGTTCGAACCCCTTCTCGCCATACTTTTTTTGCGTTTTTTTCTGGATTTTTGAAGGATGAAAGAAGGATTTAAAAAAAGGATAGACTTAAATTTTTGAATCTTTTTTGAAATTCTGAAGGCATTTTCTAATTGAAAAAAAAAGAAAAATGCTCACTAAGAAAAATTCTTACTAAGGAAGGTTGAGAAAGTTTATCACGAATTGTAAGATCGATCCTCACTAGGGTAGAAAAACTCACATTCTTCAATTGAACCAGCTTCTCATGTCCCATTCTCTCAACTTCCAAACTTGCTCTATTAAGGTGACTGATTTTTGAAACATTGCCAAGAGTTCCAACTCCAGATTGCTCATATTCCACCAATTTCTCAGCTTGCATCTCCATGCCTTCAAAATCGGCGACGTTGGCGCTACTCGGTCCGTAATTGATGAAAGTATACTTCTTAAGGATTCTCGGGGCGATGCATTTACAAAATGATCCGATTCCTAAACCAGTCATACTTGTGAATTGAAGTTCTTTGGTTTTAATGATCCTGTTTTGCCATCTCATTTCTTCTAGTAGAAATCTAACAACATTCAGGAAGGACAGGGGAAACCCGGACCCTTTTGCAGAGGTATCCATGATACTGAGAGATTCTAAAGGGAATTTCTGAAAATTCAGAATCGAGACTAGGTCTCTGCTGAAGACGTCCTCCATTCGTCTTCCGATGTTTCGAACATCCCGGTCCAAAGTTTCGATGCAACAATTTTCTCCATTTTTTTGATAACTAATGTTCAGAAGTGATCCAGTCGGAAAGATCTGCTCATCTTGATTCTTATAGATGTCCAGATTGATTTCCTTAGATCCAATGTGAATTGCAATCGAGTGAATTGTGAACTTTGGGTTTACAATTCCAATGACTTCCCGGAAGCGTCGGTTCACTTTTTGTAAGGAAGCTCTGGAAAATGTTTGGTAAAAACATAGCGAAAAAAACTCTGGAAGTTTCTCACTAAGAACAATTCTCACTAAGAAAGATTCTCACCAAGAAAAATTGGCTCTTTTCTAGTTTAGAGGTCCCAAAAAAATTTAGAGGTCCCAAAAAAAATTAGAGGTCCCAAAATAAAATAGTGGTCCCAAAAAAAAAATTAGAGGTCCCAAAAAAGTTTAGAGGTCCCAAGAAAAAATAGAGGTCCGAAATACGAAAAACGCGCAGATGTTGGAATAATGTACTAGTATTTGAACTGTGCGAGTAGTTTGAGTTTTAAGGTCTTATAGGATGACATGACTACTCCTAACAATTTTAGCTCCAATTCTCTCGCATCTTGCCGATGAACCCAATTTACGTATGAGGAAAATTTGGGCAATACAGTAATCACTCCGTGATTATGCTGTTTCTCAGGCTTAGATAATTGTGAGAAAATATGCATTCCTAAGCCTATTAGAAGTATAAAATATATCATCAACAATTATTTTGCTATAAGACCTCAAAACTTTAAATTCTTACACAATTCAAATTTTAGTACATTATTCCGGTATCTGTGCATTTTTAAGTTTTGGACCACTATTTTTTCTTGGGACCTCTAAACTTTTTTGGGACCTCTATTTTATTTTGGGACCTCTATTTTATTTTGGGACTTCTATTTTTTTTTCGGACCTCTATTCTTTTTTGGGACCTCTAAACTAGAAAAGAGCCGAAAAATTCTCACTAACTCACATTGTTGGCAAATCACACTTGTTTATTATATCCTTGAGAATGGGATAGTTATTCAAAACTTGGGATTTTGCAGAATCGTCGGGATCTTCGTCCATCTGAAAATTTTAAGATAGTTTTCTGGAAAACGGAGCAGGAGAATTTCAAAAAAAGCTTAAGGTCTCAAAAACGAGGAATTTCAAAATTCGGACATGTCCGCAATCTTGCGTGACGGTGTGCAGTGTTGGCAGACGAGTCTTGTGAGAGGGAAGCATATATTCAGCTTTTGAAAAAAGAATTCGGAAATTCCAGAATATCGAAATTTCAAAAATTCCAGTAATTTTAAAAAATTCAGAAATTCCAGAATATCGAAATTTCAAAAATTCCAGTAATTTTAAAAAATTCTGAAATTCCAGAATATCGAAATTTCAAAAATTCCAGAAATTTCAAAATTTCAAAATTTCCGAAATTTTGAAAGTTTCCGGAATTCAAGAATTCGGAAAATTTTTGAAATTCCAGAAAATCAAAGTTCTCAGAAGTTCCAAAAACTCCAGAAAAGTGAATACTTCAAAATTCCAGAAACTTTGGGTTACTGTAATTTATCGAAATGTATAAAATGTTTGATTGAATTATCTATGAAAAATAGCTATTGAATTTCTTTGAACAATATGAAAATCTATTAAAAAACAAAATATTTCCAAAAAGTGCCATTCGTTGCCATGCCAAGTGCAAAACGCTGCGCAGCCGCGACGCATGCAACAAGAGACACCGAAAAACAAGAGACGCAGACATCTGGAGATGTGAGGTCCACCTTTTTTTTCTCAGGAAGGCATCGTGTGTGCATTAGAGCGCATTTGCTGGGTTTTTTGGATTAAACATTTTTTTCTGTACACAAAAAAACTTTATGACTAGTTTCCAGGGAAAATTGGGACGAAAAAAATGGGACTGGGGGAGTTTTGACACAAAATTTTATACAGAAAAAATGGGATTTTTTTGGGATTTTCAAAATAATTTTGTTGAATTAACTGGGATTTTTTGGGGGTCTAATCTGAAAAAAAATGAAAAAAACGAAAAAAAAATTTTAGGGGCTACTCGTCAAGGCATGGGGTGTGGAGGCTCTGTTGAAGACAAAAAATAAATTTTAGCAAAAAAGTGGGCGGAGCTTATTTTATGTGTTGACCGCTGCCACGAATCCTTGTCGTTCCAGGATGCGTAGACGTTTCTCAACGGCGACTTTGTATCTGAAAATGGGAAATTTGATTTTTTATTCATTTTGCAGACAAATTCAATGGACCGAAACTTCAAAAAGCCACTCACCTCGTCAAAACAGTCTTATCCTGATCACAATTGACCTGTTCCGCCAGCGTGTGCAACATCATGTAGGCTGTCTGGTACCTCTGACTACAAAGGTGTGGATTGCCAAAGAGCTCATCGAGCGCAGCAGCTTGGCACAGCTCTATAGCATGTCGATACATGATACGCTCAGCTGAGATGACCGCCATAGCAGGGTCCTGTCCAGGGAGACCCAATGAGGCAAGTTCTTGAGATCGGACCTGAAAAAATAGAGTTTTCAAGGTTCATAAGAGTCTGAAGGTCTGCAAAGCCGAAAACGCTTCGATTTTTAGCATTTTCAGAGCTTCTAAACACTGAAAAACTGCTCAAAACTGCTTAAAACCCCTTAAAAATGCCAAAAATCGCAATTTTGAATTTTCGCGTCCAGATGGCATAGTGGATTTTTTTCACTGAATTTTTACGAATCTCAACACCAAAGTTCGATTCCTCCGGGTGTCAAAACTTTTTTGATTCTTGAGTGGACCTCGAAAAGTGCACTTTTAAAGAATTTGGATGCTTGGAACTTTTTATTTTCAGAGAAATTTTTTTTTGGCTGAAAACTTCAAAATTTCGAAAAAAAGGTTCCAAGAATCCAAATCTGCCAAAAATGCATTTTTCGAGGTCCACACAAAAATCAAAAAAGTTTTGACACCCAGAGGAATCGAACTTTGGTGTTGAGATTTGTAGAAATTCAGTGGAAAAATCCACTAGGCCATCTGGACGTGAAAATTCAAAATGGCAGAAAATCGTGATTTTTTAAAGGGTTTGAGGTTTTTAAGGAGTTTATTGCAGTTTTCAGCACGTTTTCAGTGCTTAGAAACTCCAAAAAAGCTGAAAATAAGGTTTCTACACTATAAAATCTTACCAAACACTGATGATACTTATCGTTCAACTGATTTAGCACCTGCTGAACTGCCTGGGATGGATGTAGTACATGATTTGCCACATTCGTCTGAGCCAGAAGCAATGCCGACGATAGCATATGAAGAGCTCTAACATAGACAACCAATTGCTCAGCTCTTCTGTATGGTGATGACGTGTTTGTAGTAGAAGTCCCCGTTGTTAACAACTGCCGTCTTGACGCCATAGCTGAAGCCAATGGGTTGTCCTTCTGCTCAGCGACATGCATTAGGGTATCCACGAGTTCAGCGACAAAGCGAAGTTTGCCAAGAATCTGTTTATGCTCCTCGCCGAGCACAATCTCTTGGTCGAGAGCTGGCGGAAGGGCGGGACCATCTTGTTCCATTGGGGATGGTGGGTTGGATGTGTTGTCTTGGAATGGTGGGATGAATGGTTGTTGTGGTTGGGGTTTCATGGAGATTTTCGAGTCCGATGAGATCTTCTTGAAAGAAGATTGATGCGCGGCATGGCTTCCAGACGCGAATGGAAGACTCATTGGCTCACGGACGTCGTCTTCCTCGTCGGATGAGTCGCTGGAAAAGATATTGATTGATTGGGGCGATTGGATCATAAGGTCGGAGGGTCTAAAGGCACTGGTAAACTAGGAACTTAAGGATTTTAAAATCTCAAAAAATCTCCAAACCATCAGCTTCGATTTAGTGCAAAAATCAGCTTTCTACGCCGCCTGGAAGCCGAGATACAGTCCTTTAAAGTTTTGGAGGCTAGAGACGCAGACGACGAGAAACGCAAACTGTCTGCGTCTCTTCAAAACTTTAAACCGCTGTATCTCAGCTCACAGACGGCTTGGAAAGCTGATTTTTGAACTAAACTGAACCCAGAACGTAAGGAATGTTTATCGGAAAATTTGAAGTGAATCGGATTATTTCAAATTTCAAAAAAATCTGATTTTTGTTCAATTTCAATACTTGAAAGATTCGGAAAAAATATCTAAATCTGGGTTTCATTTCGGTCCAAAAACCAACTTTCCAGCACATCTGTAAGGCGAGATACAATCGTTTGAAGGTTTGAAGAGGCACAGACAGTTAGAGTGTCTCGTCGTCTGCGTCTCTAGCCCACAAAACTTCAAATGACTGTATCTCAGCTCCCAGACGAGATAGAACACTGATTTTTGGGCCAAAACGAAGCTGATGACTTGCCAAATCGTCCTAACAATTAAAAATCAAAACTCACTGATTCTTATTAATCACAAACGGCTGAGCCGTAGCACTGGTCGGCGACGAGTTCACATCGGTCTGCTGATACTTTGCATTATCCAGCGGCTCGTTCTCATGTATTGTCGCCACCGGTGGTCCGGTCACCGATCGATCCCGATTGCCACGTTGGATACCCTGGATGTTGGCGGTAGTGGCGGATTTCGGGAAGTTCGACTCGTTCACATTCTGAAGCACTTTGTCAGAAACTGCACTAGGGAGGTCTTCTGTGGGAGCGGTGGAGATGGTGGAGCGGCGAACACGGCTGGCTGGGGTGGTGGCGGCGGTCGGTGGTGATGATGAGGGCTTCGGATTGCCGCATACAACAAAGGTCGCTGAAAAGGGGAAGGATTTGGTTGAGGAGATAAAGTTCAGAAGTCTCAAGGACCAAAATTCTAAAGTATGAAGCTTAATAGGCCTAGCAGAAGCCGAGATACAACCGTTCAAAAGTTTGGAGAGACGCAAACAATTAGAGTGCCTAGTCGTCTGCGTCTCTAGCCTCCAAAACTTTGAAGGACTGTATCTGGGCTTCCAGTGGTCCTAGAAAAGGGATTTCAGTATCCAAATGATCCAAGAAGCCCAGGCCCCGATCTAGGCTAGATTCCAAGTTCTTTATCATGATACAATACCTTATACAGAGCTGTGGTAGCCATTTTTCTAAGTTACGGTAGTCTAGGTAATAGGCATTCCTGGTCCGTAGGGTGTCAAAGTTCTAGGCTCTTCAGTTCTTCAATCTAGAGCAAAAACCAACGTTCTAGCGCTTCTAGAAGGTGAGATACAACGATTTGAAGTTTTGGAGAGACGCAGACAGCTAGAGTGTCTTACCGTCTGCATCTCTGGCCTCTGAAACTTCAAATGACTGTATCTCAGCTCCCAGGCGACTTAGAAAATCAATTTTTGTTGCAAATTGAAGTCAATAAAGAGTATTATCTTTCTTTTACATATAAAACACAATTAGGTTAGATCGCGCCGATGGCGCACCAGTTAGCTGGTGACTAATATGAATTTCAATTGATTTTTGAAAAACCAAAGTTTCTAGCTTCAGTGCAAAAACGAACTTTCTAGAACATCCAGGAAGCGAGATATATCAATTTGGAATTTTCGAGAGACGCAGACAGTTAGAGTGTCTCGTCGTCTGCGTCTCCAGCCCCCAAAACTTCAAATGGCTGTATCTCAGCTCCCAGGTGGTCGTTAAAGATGAGTTTTGAGCCAGAATGAAGCTGATGACTTGCCAATTTTTTACACTTCTCAAAACGTTTTTAATACGGTACTCATAAAAAGGAAAACTTCACAAAACCAGCACCCCAAATTCAAACTTTAAAAAGTCAAAATAGTCCACCCAATCAAAAAAAAACTCACGATGCGGAAGTGTCAACTTCTCAACGTCCTGTGCATTTGGTTCCGGAAGAGTCGTCCTTCTGACATAATCAGTGTCTTGTGGGATTGGCTTCTGTACCATTTGCTGAGGTACAGTATCCCGGCTGGGTGACGATGTTGGCACGGCAGTCTTTCTTGCAGCCGCCAGACGTTCCTCCATCTTCTGGTAGGTCAAACGTTGACTGGGCACTGGCACCGGCTTGCAAGTGGTTAGTGATGGTGAGACATTGGTGTGAACTTGGACCTGAACCACAAAAGATTATTAGGAATGGATGAGATTGAACATGTAGGTTAGGGAAAGAAGACCAAATGTTATATAAAAGTCTTAGGTCGTAGGATTTTAGAGCCCCAAGGACTATAACTAAAAGTTAAGGACCTGGATTTCTAGCTTAAGGATCCTGAGCTTCGAGCTCAGCATCTTGAGACTTTTGAAGCTAAGTCTAGAAGCCTGAAGACGGCTAAATCCTACTTTAGGGTCCCTGAAGTCTCAGACTAGGACGTTGAACGTCGAACCAGCTGTATCTAGCTTGAATGGTATCTTGCCTTCATGGAAATTAAAGCCTAGCCGCCAGAAAGACTTTTAATAATGGTCTCAAGGATCCTAAGAATTTACCCACCTGCTTAACGGGACTTCCATCTTGTCTAGGCGGCAAGAACGTGAAATCCGTGCTTTCCTGCATTGTATTCTGATCCTGTGGCACTGGAGAATTCATCGATGGCGTAATAATCCTTCTTTGAACTCTAGGCGACTCCCCAATCCTTCTAGCCGGTGTTGGACTCTCCAGCTTTGCAGATCCGGCTCTCTTCGGTACTGGAAGGGCTGATTGGGGTGTGATAATTCTGCGATTGGGCATTGGCGACCGTGCACTCTCCAGAATCCGTTTAGATGGCGATGGCATTAATGGAGAAGTGAGGAAGGGGTGAGTGAAGAAGTCTTCAAAGGATATACGATCCTTTGAATTACGCTTTAAGAGTCGCAATAAAAGATCCCGAAGGTTCGGACTACACCATTCAGGGATATTGGGTCGAAGCTCCCTGGTTTTCTCATAGTAGGCTTTCAATTGTGGAGGAGTCTGAGCTACAAATGGAGCTTTTCCGGTTAGACACTGGAATAGGATGGTTCCAATGGACCAGAGATCTGCTTTTGCATCGTATTGCATTGACATAATGACTTCTGGAGCCATATACATTGGAGATCCACATAGGGTGGCTGCCATTACACCGTCGTTGAGGAATCTGGCGAAACCAAAGTCGGCGAGTTTGATGGTGATGTCAGAGTAGTGTGGATTTTGGGTACGAGAATTGTTGCAAAGGAGGATGTTTTGGGGTTTCAGGTCTCGATGCACAATTCCTTTTTTCGTCATTGCTTCCATGGCTCGGGCTGGAAATGGGTGAAAATTGAAATTGAGATGTTTCTCAGCCTAGTTAAGTTTTAAATTGGAATTCTGTATTAAAAAAAAACAAATTTCCCAAATTCTGTGCTTTATTTTAGTCCAAAAACCAACGTTCTAGCACATCTAGAAATCGAGATACAACGATTTGAAGTTTTGGAGAGACCCAGACAGTTAGAGTGTCTCGTCTCTCGCCTCCGATACTTCGAATGACTGTATCTCGGCTCCCAGTGGTCCTAGAAAAGTGATTTTGGCACCGAAATTTCTAATTTTCTTTTCTCTTTTTTGGAGCTGAATTTTGAAACGGCTTAACTTGACACTGATGTGTTTTCTGGGTTATATTAACATAGTGGCCTAACTGCAAGATGAGTTTTCTAGGCCACCAACTTTTTTTGGCCAAGAAATGTCTCAAAAGCCTAGAATTGGCCTAGAATTGTTCTTGGTGTGTTTTTAAATCATTTAACATGGAGGCCTAGAAAACCCAACTTGCACAAGTTAGGCTACGACGGTATAATGACCGTACTGCCAAAAACGGACCAAAAACGGACCAAAAATAGGCTTCAAAATGTTCAAGTTCGCACAACTTGGCTTTGAAAAATGTCCTATTTGTAATTTAAATGACATTTTCAGAAACTTCAAATTTTCAGCTTGTTCAGAAAAACGAATTTCAAATGTGTCGCTGAAAGTGGACCGAAAAACTGTCTAAATGGACCAAAAACGGACAAAAAATTGGCTTTGAAATTTATAAGCTTGCGTAACTTAGATCAAAACGGAACGATTTCCAATTAAAGTTATATTTTCAGAATCTTTAAATTTTCAGTTTTACCACCACGATAACTCACCAATCTGTATCACAAAGTGCTGAATAGTTTCCTCATTCAAAGTAGTCTTCTGTTGTAAATAATCCGCCAAATCTCCGCCATTACAGTACTCCATGACCAAATAAACATGAGTGGGTGTCTCTGTACATTTCAGCAGTGCCACCACATTCTCATGTTTCATACTCGACAGTTCTTTTAGAATTTTGATCTCTTTGGTCAGCAGATTCTTGGATTTTGAGATATTCTTCTTGGCGATCGCCTTGATGGCCACCGGTATTTCGTGGTGCTGGAAATTTTTAGTTGTCGGGGGTCATAATTTCCAGAACATTCTACTCACATCAACATATCGTCCTTTGTAGACAATCGCAAACGCTCCATGACCCAGCAGGTCATTTTTGCGATATTCGAATCCGTCAAACTGCTCCATTCAGTTCTTCATTTATGGATTTTCAGGGAAATTTCAGAAGTGTGTGTGCTGAAATTTTGAGATTTGAGAGAGAGAGAGTTTAGGAAAAGAGAGAGAGAGAGAGAGAGAGAGAGAGAGAGAAAGTTGAAAAAAAAGAAAATGTGAATTTTGGAAAATTCTTAATTTCAAACTTGATATGAAGTTTTGGAAAGAGGGTTGGAAATTTTTGGGATTTGATCATTTACTGGAAAAGAAGGAAAAAGGTTCTCACTAAGAAAAATTCTCAATAAGAAAGAGTCTTATTAAGATAGATTCTCACTAAGAATGATTCTCACTGAGAAAGATTATCTTGTTGGGGGTATACCTAGAAAATAGCCCCTAAAAACTGGTGAACAAGGTTTTGAAATTCAAGAAATTGAGGACAATAGAATCAATTGGTTAGAATAAGAAAGGAATTCAAAAAATAATGATTTTTGGGTCAAAAAAAAATTTGGGGCGAAATTCAAAATAAATAGAAAAGTGGTCAAAATGGACCAAAAAATAGTTCGAAATCGATTGAATGGTACAGTAGTAAAATAGAATATCTAGATTCTGGATTTTTCCAACCACCACGCAAACCCACAAATTCTGAAATTTCAGATTTTTTGAAATTTAAAAAAGAAACAGAGGTTAATATGACTACAACATGTACAACATTTATTATACACAAATTAGGAAAGGGGCGGAGCTTCGTGAGGTGAGCAAACAAAAAATGGGTTGTTAGACATTGTTAGACATACGCCACGTATCCCTGACGCTCCAGAATTCGAAGGCGATTCACGACGGCGATTCTGTATCTGAAAGGAGAAGCAGAAACGTAAAAAAAAGCCAAGCTAACCGAAAAAGATTTTGAATCAACAAAAATTAAAGATTTTGGTCCCAAAATCACTTATCTAGGGCCACTGTGAACCGAGATACAGTCATTTGAAGTTTCGGAGACTAGAGACGCTGGCGGCGAGACACTCTAACTGTCTGAGTCTCTCCAAAACTTTGAACGGCTGTGTCTCGGCTTCTAGAAGTGCTAGAACGTTGGGTTTTGGACTAAAATGAATCTCAGGATTTTATCTTTTCATTAAGAAAAAAAATTTCAAAATAGAAGATCCTTACCGTTTCAACAGATCCCTATCCTTATCACAGTTCGCCTGCTCTACTAGAACATGCAACAAAAGATAGGCGGTTTGGTAGCGTTCGCTACACCTGTGAGGGTTACCGAAGAGCTCATCGAGAGCAGCATCTTCGCAGAGATCAATGGAGTGCCGGTAGATGACTCGTTCGGCGGAGATCAGTGGGAGAGATGGGTCTTGGGCAGGGACGCCGAATTTCGAAATTTGTTGGGAGCGCATCTGGAATTTTTCGGCGTTTGAAGTGTACACTTTTTACATTTGAAAAGCTTCTAAACACTGAAAAAAGCGCTTAAAACTGCTCTAAACCCCTCGAAAACCTCAAAAATCGAGATTTTCTACCATTTTGAAAATTCGCGTCCAGATGGCCTAGTGGATTTTTCCACTGAATTTTTACGAATTTCAACACCAAAGTTCGATTTCCCTGGGTGTCAAAACTTTTTTGATTTTTGTGTGGACCTCGAAAAATGCATTTTTATCCATTTTGAATGCTTGGAACGTTTTATTTTCAACATTAGCCCCATTTTCAGCCAATTTGACGGGGCTTATTCTGAAAATAGAACGCTGGAAGCATCCAAAACGGATAAAAATGCATTTTTCAAGATCCATACGAAAATAAAAAAAATTTTGACACTTAGAGGAATTGAACTTTGGTGTTGAATTTGGTAAAAATTCAGTGGAAAAGCCCACTAGGCCATCTGGACGCGAAAATTCAAAATGGTAGAAAATTGCGATTTTTGATGCTTTTAAGGGTTTTCAAAGCAGCTCTAAGCAGTTTTCAGTATCTAGAAGCTCTGAAAATGCTCAGAATAGCATTTTGGCCGCGTGGAATATTTGGAACAAGCTTAACTTACCACACAAAAATGATATTTATCATTCAATTGATTCAAAACCTGCTGCACTGCTTTAGTCGGTTCCAACTCCTTCAGATCCACCTTCTCTTGAGCCAAAAGCATCGCCGATGAGAGCATATGCAGTGCTCGAACCAACACCGCCAATTGCTCAGCTCTCTGATGTGACGAATTGGTTTTAAGCTTCCTTTGCTTCATGGCTACTGCCAATGGGTTACTCTTCTGGTCAGCTAGATTTATGAGCTCGTTGACGATCTCATTGACGAATTGAAGCTTAGCAAGGAGTTGTTTGTGTTGATCGCAATGAAAAGTTTCGGGGATGAGCGGTTGCAGTGAGGCAGGGATGATTTTTAAGGATAAGGGTTGAATTTCCTTAGGGAGAATGAGGTTGGATGGTGTAGCTGTTGGAGCAGAGGCGAATGGAAACATGAAGGCGTCGTTGTAGATGGATTCGTGAATTTTGGAAGAGCTAAAAATGTTTGGTTTAGAATGGATAAGCAGAAGGCTCTTCTTAGTGAGGCTCTTTCTTAGTGAGGATCTTGCCTAGTTAAAATCTCTCTTGAGAACCTTTCTTACTGAGGACGTTTCTTAATAAGTGTCTTTCTTAATGAGGGCACTTCTTAGTGAGAATCTTTCTTAAGTGAGGAATTTTCTTAATAAGGATCATCTACAGTAAGCAATCTCAGTGTACCACGCTTACCTATTCTTCTCCTCAATGAATACATTTTGGATTGGCAAACTGCTGAAATCCGGTTGCTCGTTGATTTTGGGTTTTTCTTCTATCACTTGCTGATTTTCCACTTGCTTCTCCTTCTCATCTACAGTAACCACTTGCAAACGCTTTCCATCTCCAAGGATCACGAATCGTGCTAAAAAATTAAATTTTAGGAATCATTTTATTCCTAGATGGGACCATTCTTCTCGGAAAAGGAGTCGTTTTCTAGGATAGACCCTTTAAAACCCAAAACAATCACTCACGATGCGGTATGCTCAATTTCTGTATCTCCTCCGCACTCGGATTGGGAAGTGTGGTTCTTCTAGCAAATACGGGATTCTCATCAACGATCGGCATCACTTTTTTGGCAATATCCTTCTCTACTGGCTTCTTGCCTCCGTTCCTTCTAGCCTCCAGAGCTTCTCGCATTTTTAGGTAAATTGCTCGATTCACAGGTACCAAGGGTGGCAGATCTTTGGGCATTGTTGAGATGGTGTTGTTTTTTGGAGGATCCTGGAGAATAGGTAAAAAGGATCTTTCTTAGTGAGAATCTATGTTTATTGAGGGTATTTCTTAGTGAAAAATGTTTCTTGTTGAGAATTTTTCTTAGTGAGAACTTTTCTTAATAAGGATTTTTCCTAACAAGGGACTTTCTTAGTGAGAACTTGTCTTATTGAGAATCTTTCTTACTAGGGAAGGTTGTTTGTGGGGTATGGGACTTCGTTATGAGACCTATATCATTCGAAAGCTGAAAATGAGACATTTTCAAAAATGTAATTCGATTTTGCTGCGGACTTACCATATTCGAGAAAATCGAGTTCATCATTTTTTCAAACCACTATTTGACTTTTGAGAATAGAAAGTTAATGGTTTACAAAAGATTTTGGATGTTTTTTTTTGATTGTGATCGCAAATTTAGAAGTTTCTGTACAATGTGACCAAGTTTAAGCGTTTTTTTTCAGAAAAAAATTTTGAAAAAAAGTTCCATGGAGTACCCCCTTGACTTTTTTTTTGAAAATTTTTGAAAATTTTTTTTTCGGCTGAAAAGGTATTAAACGAAAAAGAACAAGTAAATTAGGTTTTTTACAAAATTTGATAACCTATTTTCTTCTCGTGATCAAGACATTTTGATTCTTTTTCTGATTTTCAACAAACCGTAGTACTACGATGATCGCCCAGTAACACTCAAAATTTGAGAAATCATAGACACAAATCATGTCTGATTGATGTTTGGCTCTTAAAACGAACCATCCTTATGAACTTTGACAAACAAAAGCTGTGTGAAAGTGTTTAGTGTTGATTAACGAAATAGTCAAAAACTAGATATTACTTAAAACATTTAAGAAAGTACAATTTCTCAGTATCAAAATGAAATTTTTTTTTGAAAAATGTGTTCGGAACATTTTGAAGATTTCCACAAAGACCGTGAACAAAAACAAAAACAAACAAAGGAGAGAGGAATCGAACCCAACCCTAGTCAGTTACCGTCCTCCCTCTTCACCGCTACACCACCAGTCGCTGCTTTCAACTAGTTCCACAATGCATATAAGAAAGGGGGAGATCTGGCCGTCAAAATATTCCAATTTCAGCTAAATTTCAAATTCGATTTTCTCGGAACTGGAATGTCCGCAGCAAAATCTGAATATATATTTGAAAATGTCTCATTCTCAGCTTTCGAATGACATAGGCCTCATATCAAAGTCCCATACCCCAGTTACAACCTTCCCTAGTTAGTGAGAACCTTAACTTGTCTCAATAAGGACCTTTCTCAATAAGAATTTTTCTCAATAAGTATCTTTCATAGTGAAAATTTTACTTAGTGAGAACCTTGAACTTTTTTAATAAGAATCTTTCTCAGTGGCAATCTTTCTTAATGAGAATCGACCTACCTCTTTTTCTGCAACTACACTCCTCTTCGGCTGCATTGGTAGAAATGTGAAATCCTCAAAACTCTCGTCCACCTCCTCTGGCATCATTGCCTTTTGCTCCAAGAACGGATTTGCTGCCTTTTGAACTTTGCTCTTGCTCATTATATTTCTCACCGCCGCTGGTTTTGGACTGTTTTTCACCATCACAGGAGCATTTTCAATCCTTCTCACTGGTTTCGGAGTAATCACCATTTGATTAATACCCATCGGCGCGTTCTCCAGAATCCTTTTCGATGGAGATGGCTTCAAAGGGTCCGTAAGAAAAGGATGGGTGTAGAAATCGTTGAAAGTCATTCGATTCGCCACATTTCTCTTGATAATTCGCACTAGAAGATCCTCAAGAACATCTGAGCACCATTCCGGAACATTTGGCTTCAGCTCCAAGGATTTTTCATAAATATTGCGTAGCTGCATTGGATTTTGAGCTGGGAATGGTGGTTTTCCAGTTAGGCATTGATAGAAAATCACTCCGATCGAATAGAGATCAGCCCTTGCGTCGTACATCTCACCCATCAGAATTTCGGGAGCCATGTACATTGGAGAGCCACAGAAAGTTTGGGTCATGATTCCATTGTTTAGGATTCGAGCGAATCCAAAGTCAGCGAGCTTCACAGTGATTTCCGAGTAGGTGGGGTTGAGTATTTTGGGATTGTAGCAGAGGAGAATGTTTTGGGGCTGAAATTGATTGGCTGGTATTATGATGCCAATTAAAGGGTATTAAGAGATAATTAGGGAAAATTTTTGTAGGATTAAGTATGATTGGCTGCAATTGGAATGTCTAGAGAGACTCACCTTCAAATCCCGATGCACAATTGTCAACTTGTTCATGACTTCCAAGGCGCGAGCTGAAATTTTAGAAATTCAAAAATTCAAAAATTCAAAAATTCAAAAATTCAAAAATTCAAAAATTCAAAAATTCAAAAATTCAAAAATTCAGAAATTTAGAAATTCAGAAATTCAGAAATTCAGAAATTCAGAAATTCAGAAATTCAGAAATTCAGAAATTCAGAAATTCAGAAATTCAGAAATTCAGAAATTCAGAAATTCAGAAATTCAGAAATTCAGAAATTCAGAAATTCAGAAAAAAACTCACAAATCTGAATAATAAAATGCTGAATACATTCCTCTGCTAGTGTCCCCGACGCATATAAATAATCAGCCAAATCGCCACCATTACAGTACTCCATGACCAGAAACACATGATTTTGGGTCTCGGAGCACTTGATTAGGCGAACCACATTCTCATGCTGGATTTTTGCCAAATCTCTCAATATCTTGATCTCCTTGCCGAGTTGTTGACGGTGACGGCCGAATTCCTTCTTCGAGACGGCTTTGATGGCGACTGCGACGTCTGGATTCTGCAAAAAGATTGAATTACATGATGATGGGAGAAATTTGTGTTGGTGTAGAGAAGGAGAAGGAGGAGAAGTGTAAAAATGATGGATTTCAAACGTTTCGGACAAGAAACACTTTTTGAAGTGAGGAAAAAATCCTTGGTCTAGGTAGAAGGTACACCAAAGAATGACCAAGCTGTTTAAAGGGGCACAACTCGGCTGAAACTCAATTTTGGCAGATTTTGAACTTGATTTTTGAAATTTACACATTCTCAGCGTTCAAATGATATGAAAATAATTAGCAAGACCTCTTTAAACGAGCATAACTTGGCTCAAAACGCTCCAATTTCAGATCTGATAATATTTTTGGAATTTAAACATTTTCAGCTTTCAAGTAAAATAAAAATCACACTAATACCTCTCAACTTTGAGCTTTGAGTCAATCTCGGTTCCTATAAGACATATCAGAAAGTTGTCAACTGATCAATTGTTTATTATATTATCACAAACATTTTATCAGTTAACCAGTTTTTGCTATATCTCATAGGAGCCGAGATAATTGAGCTCAAAGTTAAATTTTTCATTTTGAGCTCTAGAAAACTTCAAAAAGTCATAACTTGGCTCAAAATCTTCCTATCTTACATCAGATTACACTTTTGAAGTTTCCAAATTCTAGCCTTTCAAATCGTATGCAATTTCATAGGTTAAAATATTAGTGCTCACCTCTATAACCCGTCCTTTGTACACTATAGCAAACTGTCCTCGTCCCAAATCATCCCGTTTATCATACTCGTATTCTCCGCCCACCTGTTCCATCTTTGACTAAAATTTGAGAATTTCCACCGATATATATATATATATATATACAAGAGCTTGAGGAAAGAGCTGGAAATTAAAAAAAAATGATTAAAAAGTATATAAATTCTTCACAAGGAAGCTAGAAAGTCCCAAATTTCTATTGGAAAGAAAAAAAAACAAAAAAAAAAGGCTCCGAAAGATTGAATCACATGTCCCCCAAGTGTTTACTCTTCATTTTGTTTCTTTCTTATTCAATCAGTTGCCGACAAAGAAAAAATTTTGGGACCAAACAATTTTTTCCGTATTCCGAAGTTTTGGAGGCTAGAGACGCAGACGACGAGAAACGCTAACTGTCTGCGTCTCTTCAAAACTTTAAACCGCTGTATCTCAGCTCACAGACGGCTTGGAAAGCTGATTTTTGAACTAAACTGAACCCAGAACGTAAGGAATGTTTGTCGGAAAATTTGAAGTGAATCGGATTATTTCAAATTTCAAAAAAATCTGATTTCTGTTCAATTTCAATACTTGAAAGATTCGGAAAAAATATCTAAATCTGGGTTTCATTTCGGTCCAAAAACCAATTTTCCTGGGTTTCATTTCGGTTCAAAAACAACTTTCCAGCACATCTGTAAGGCGAGATACAATCGTTTGAAGGTTTGAAGAGGCACAGACAGTTAGAGTGTCTCGTCGTCTGCGTCTCTAGCCTACAAAACTTCAAATGACTGTATCTCAGCTCCCAGACGAGATAGAACACTGATTTTTGAGCCAAAACGAAGCTGATGACTTGCCAAATCCTCCTAACAATTAAAAATCAAAACTCAATTACCAAACAATTTTTTGACGTATTCCGAAAGTTTGATTTATTTTTTAAAAAAAAGTATTACTGAGAAATTTAAAAAAAAAACTTTTCAAAATTTCAAATTTTCGAGTTCAAAGAACAATTGTTTGCTAGTGGTGACCTCTGAAGAAAGAAAAAAAAAGTCAGTCACAAGAGATGCCATATGATGGGAAATATTGATAAAAGTGAGAAAAGAGAAAGAGAGAGAGAGAGAGAGAGAGAGAGAGAGAGAGAGAGAGAGAGAAAACATGGAAAATCAAATAAACTGGAAAATTAGACATTTTCAAGTACTTGTTTTGGCCGTTTTGGGGTGAAAATCAGATTTAAAGAACATCGAAACGTTAAGAAATGTAAGAAAATTTTGAAATTTGGGCTCGAATCTCGAATTTCAGAAAAAAAAATGGAAATCAGTCATTTTGTAAATTTTCAAAAATTTCAATGGGATTTTATCAATTTAAGCCTTGGCTTAAACATGGAGAATATATCTAATTTTGAAATTCAAAAAAGTACAAAAACTCTAGCTAAACCTTTGAAAAATAAAGCCGTTAACTTTGAGCTCAGCTATTTCAATTCCTGTAATAGATATCAAAAAGTTGTCAACTGAAAAATTTTTTATCATAATATCACCGATATTTTATCAGTTGTCACATTTTTGATATCTTGAATAACAAGTGAGATAATTGAGCTTAAAGTTGACAGGTTGGGCTTATTAGACAAAATATTATGAACAAAAAATGGTATTTCAAAATGTATAAACTAAAAAAAGAATTGGTCCAGAAGTTGGGAAAATTAAGAAAAACAAAAAGGAAATGGATTTTCAGAAGGAATTTCTGCTAATTTCAGCCAAGGTTCCAAGATAAAAGCATAATTTGAATTTTGAAAAAAAGGTTTCCAGAATTTCAGAAAGCAATTTTCCAGACAAAAAAAACGAATTATAATGAAGGTAGGTCAGATAACAGCGGACATTTTCGAAAAAAATTGGGTTTTGAGAATCTCAGATTCCAGCAATTTTCAGGCAAAAAAAGCGATTATATTCAAATCAAAATCGAATCCTAATGGATGGACAACGCCCTAACCCACTCTTATCGATTTTCTGGAGACAACGGACCCTCTCGGGGATAGATGGGGCAGAAAAGAAGAAAAGAGAAAAGAGTCAGGGTTCTATTGCTGCTACACATCGTCCTCCTTCTCAAGGGGCGAGAGATAAGGGGGAAAGGAGAGAGTGGCTGAGAAAGGGAGGCGAGAGTGACAGAGAAACCAGACACACACGTATAGCATATAGAGAGGAGAGGGGCATAATGTATATCGACCGGGGGACCGGGTGGGGTTGTTTGGGAGGGGGATGCTAACCGCCTGACGTACGCTCACAAGATAGAGAGAGAGAGAGAGAGAGAGAGAGAGAGAGAGAGAGAGAGAGAGAGAACGCGCGCGCGCCCCTACAGAGACGCAGAGAAGTGCCTGCGTCTCTGTAATCTAGGTGTGACTCTGGGGAATTTGAAGGGACCAGAAAAGGAGTGGGACCTTGTCTTCTTCTTTTTTTGTCTGCCTTCTTTTTTTCGAGAAGGATGAGGCAGGAAATAACGGACGGGGACGGAAAAAAGAGACGGGGGACGATGACGTTATAGGGTGATTCAGAATATTTGAGAGCTGAAAATGTATTAGCTGAGCAATGAGAGAGATTAGAGTTCTTGGGAAATATGAAAAGCTGGGAAATCTGAATTTCCGGAAAATTAAAAATCGAGGTCCTGATCTAGGCCTGAAAATCTGGGTCTATACAAATTATTGCTTCAACTTTGAGCTTATTCATCTCGGTTACTGTAAGAGACATCAAAAAAATGTTACCTGATAAAATATTGGTGATATTCTGATGAATAATTTATCAGTTGACAAAATATTGATATATTTTACAGGAATCGAGATAATTGAGCTCAAAGTAAGCACTCTAATATGGCTCTCCCACCCCCCTAACTTTTAACTTTGAGCCTAATTATCTCATTTCCTGTAAAAGATATCAAATTTTTTTCAACTGATAAAAGTACGCTGATATCATGATAAACAATTTATCAGTAGACCTTTTTTGCTACCATTTACAGGTAATGAGATATATGGGCTCAAAGTAAACACTCTAATATGACCCCCCCCCCCCCACCTTAACCAAACTTTCAACTTCGAGATTATTTATCTCGGTTACTGTAAGAGATATCAAAAATTTGTCAACTTACAAAATATAGCTGATGTTATGTTACTCAATTTATCAGTTGATGATATTCTGATATTTTTCACTGGAATCGAGATATCTTGGCTCAAAGCAGACGATTTGGGGAGCGGAGTAATCTATTAGAGTGGTTCCGGTAGTTGGAAATTCGGATTTATTTGAAATTTCAGCAATTCAAAGCTTTACAAAAAGGGCCGATATTGAAAAATATTTGTACTGCAAGAAAAATGTAGAAATGTGTATACTGCTCAAAAATTGATGGCATTTTCCTCCTCTTTCTTGCCTCTTTTCAGTCTTTAAGCGGTCATTCATCAAGTGTGCTTAACAGGGGAAAAAAGGAATAAGAACCACTTGGAATTTTAGGAATTTTGGGGAAAAAATGGTCCGAAAATGTTTAAAATTGGGTTTACCGTAAACACTCTAATAGAACGTCACTTGAATCGTCAATTTTGAGCACATGTATCTCATTTTCTGTGAGAGATATCAAAAAGTGGTCAACAGATAAAATGTTGCTGATATCATGATACATATTTTATCAGTGAACAACTTTTAGATATCTTTCGAAAGAAGTTAGATATTTACGCTCAAAGTGGACGGTCCGGGTGGCGTTCTATTAGAGTGTTTACGGTATATTTAATTTTTTGTTAATTTTTGAAAAACGTTAATTACGGAAATTGACAATTTCAAAGGTAATGAAACATGGTTTTCTTGAAGTCGGTTTATGAAAAACTCCTCAAAAAGTTGAATTTGTGGTCGCCCTGCTGAAGGGGCCGCCTCGCTACCAGCTGAGCTACGGTGGCGCAAGCTGCGCCGCCGGAGGGTAATCAACTTTGAGCCCATATATCTCAATCCTTGTGAAAGATATCAAAAAGTGGTCAACTGATAAATTGTTTATCATAATATGACCAATATTTTATCACTTGACAACTTTTTGATATCTTTTTCAGAAACCAAGATAAATTGGCTCAAAGTTGAAATTTTTATTTTAAGGCTCAAATTTTTCTAGTAAATTCTAGGTAATTTTTGGCGTCATTTTGTTGCTGATATCATGATACATATTTTATCAGTTAACAACTTTTTGATATCTTGTGGAGTGTTTACGATATTTTATTTACGACCGTTTGAAGATTCTCGATTCTCAAATAACTGATTTTTAGGAACGTTTGAAATTTATGATTTTTTGGAAATTTATTAATTTCAGAATTCAAATGTTCACTAGAATTCATGGATTGCCTACATTTTCAATGTTTTCCAAATTTTAGAATTCTTTAAAATTCCAGTTTTTAGTTTTTTTTTCAATGTCAGGATTCTCGAAATTTTTTTTATTCTTTTAAACGGCATAATAAGGAATCCGAGACGATCTCTTCCTTTTACCCGATGTGATGACATTGACCCCACTTTTTTTAAATTTATCTCTTTCTTTTCGTTCCGCCGAAAAGATAACATAACCCAATTCCACCAATAAAAACAAATCCATTCAATCTTTTAATTTGATTTCTAATTCAACAAAAACCCTTTGTTGTTTTTTTTTGTTTTCCTGATGCATTGCGAATTGTTCGGATTGAACTGGGGTGAGTTTTTTAGGGGAAAAAGGTTTAGGGGTATTGTAGCTAACTAGGGAAGGTTGTTTGTGGGGTATGGGACTTCGTTATGATACCTATATCATTCGAAAGCTGAAAATGAGACATTTTCAAAAATGTAATTCGATTTTGCTGCGGACTTACCAGATTCGAGAAAATCGAGTTTGAAATCTCATTTTTGAAAAAGCAAAGGGGGGACCCCATGGTGACTTTTTTCCAAAAAAAATTTTTTTTTTGAAAAAACACGGAAACCAAACCGAAAACAAAAACAAAAACAAACAAAGGAGAGAGGAATCGAACCCAACCCTAGTCAGTTACCGTCCTCCCTCTTCACCGCTACACCACCAGTCGCTGCTTTCAACTAGTTCCACAATGCATATAAGAAAAGGGGAGGTCTGGTCCTCA